AAGGCACCTCCCCATGCTCCTCCTGTGGCAAACAGGAACACCTGAGGATGGAAACCACCTGAGCCCCACATGGGCATTCCCACTTAGGGGGGAACCAAGAGGCTGGCGACGCTCCCAGCAGCAGAGAGGTTGCTGGTTGATGGCTCTGCTCATTCCAGAGGGGCACACAAGGCTGTGATGCACTGCTGGGGCACAGCCTGGCTGAGGACCAGTCACATTCATCTCATTTTTCCTCTGGGAGTGAGCCAAGGCAGGATGCTGCACTGGGACTGTCCTTCCCCAGTACTGGCAGAGGCACCCAAACACAGCAGCATCCTGAACATGGGATTACTGGGAGATGACCATGAAATCCACCAGCCTAGATCCTATTTTGGGGTGTCCTGGCCATGGCTGGGGACTGTCCTTCTTGCTGCAGCTTTGGGCAGGGTATGAGCCTGTCATCACTTCCCTGTGCCAGGTGCCACCAGCCACCCACATCCCTTGCTGTCCCTGCCTGCTTGTGTTTTGTAGCCCCTCGACAGGGCTGGTCTTTTACAAGCACTTTATAGGCCTTAACTGCTGCGGGTGCTCCTCCACCACGCAGATGTGCTCCCACTGCCTTTCTGTGCCCTCCACTCGCTTTGTTTCACCCTCTGGCTTTTCCTGGAGAAGCACTAACCCTCTGCCCGTGCTCCCCTTCAGTGCCACGGCAGCAACCTCCTTTTGGGCAGGTTCTGCAGGTTCTTAATAAATCTTTTTACCAGGACATGCAGCTGGTGCCTCTTGTTGCTGGGGGTGACCTGGAGGTGACATTTATTTCGCTGGGAATAGTGTGGATGTGGGTGTGAGCTGGGGGAAGTAGAGGTGGCGTGGTGGGGGTGACCTGGAGGTGACATTTATTTCACTGGGAATAGTGTGGGTGTAGGTGTGAGCTGGGGGAAGTGGAGGTGCTGTGGTGAGGACAGCAGTGGAGGATGCTGTGGCCAGTGGAGCTGAGCAGCCCCAAGGCCAGTTTCTGTGTGAGGAGCAGGGATCTGCAAACGCTGCTTTGTGATGTGGGGACACAGGGACACAGCCATGGCCCAAGGAGCCACAGCCCATGCTGGGGGCTTTGAGAGTGTCGCTCATCTGGGTGACCTTCTTTAACCCTGACATCTGCATGGCTCTGCAGGCTTTGCCCCAAGGCAAGGGGGATCACAGAAACACAGAATCAATGAGCTTAAAGAAGATCTCTGTGATCACCACCTAACTCTGTGAGTCCAACCCCTGACTGAGCACCACCATGTCCCCTTCACCATGGTGCTGAGTGCCATGTCCCATCTTTCATTAAACACCTCCAGGGATGGTGACTCCACCATCTCCCTGGGCAGTCTAATCACTCTCTCTGTGAAGAAAGCCCTCCTAAAGTCCAACATAAACATTCCCTGGTGCAGCTCAGCACCTCGTCCTCCTGTCATGGCGCTGGCTGTCTGGGAGCAGAGCCCGACGCTACACGCCTTCACCCCCCCTTCAGGGAGCTGTAGAGCGTGATAAAGCCACCCCCGAGCCTCCTGCAGGCTGAACAAGCTCAGTTCCCTCACAGTGCTGTGCTCCAGACCGCTGCCCAGCTCGGTTCCCATTC